AATGGAGATCTTTTTTAAAGGTTAAAAACTCATTCAATTTTATGTCTTACAGGGCTTATACTGAGTTCAATATTGTATAACTATTACCTCAACTGTGAACCTAGAAACTTCACCCACTTGTGAAAGAGATGTATTCTTGCTCTGGAGTGTGTTACTGAATATGTTAAAGCTGTAATGAAATGCTTCTTCTAATCACGTAGCTATTAAAAATTAAAAAAAAAAAAAAACCTTAAACAGCCAGGCGTGGTGGTGCACACCTTTAGTCCCAGCACTCAGAAAACAGAGGCAGGCACATCTCTGTGAGTTCAAGGCCAGCCTGGTCTGCATAGTGAGTTCCAAGCCAGCTGGGGCTACAGAGAGACCCTGTCTTAAAAAGACCAAATATATATATATATATATATATGTGTGTGTGTGTGTGTGTGTGTGTGTGTGTGTGTGCATTTATTCAGCAACCATAAAATTACAGCATAGAGTGAAAAAAAGAAAATTTCTTAGAGTTTTTAAATTCCTTGCATGTTATTTTTTGAGAATCAAGGACAATAAATCTGTATTCCTAGAAATTCTCAGAAATTTCGAAATTATTTTAACTATACTTCAAAATGTTTCCACTCTATTATACAAATAGATAAAATTCTTCTTTAAAGAGTAAAACACATTAAGTTTAGTAGGACTTTCACAGTACCAGAGACCATAGAAATGTTCAAACAATGAGAACATTTTAAAATTCAGATCTTTCATTCAATGTCTTTTCAGATACTTTCCATGGCTTTACCTGCAAGTTGATTGAGCTTCCCTTTAGCAGTGTCTATATAATCTGCTCTTTAACAATTAGCTGTTTTTTCGATGTCATATATTGTTATTGTCATCTCTAGAGCCTTGGACTTTTTAATTTTCTATGTGTTCTGTTTGAACTCTTTGAACACATCTGGAATGCAGTTATAAAAACTATTTAGGAACTAGGAACGAAGAAGATGGCTCAGCAGGTAAAAGCATTTGCTGCACATGCACAAGGTCCTGAGTACAAACCCCCTTCATCCACATAAAAAGCTGATTGTGGCAGTGCCTGTAACCTGAACATTGTAAGGTGCAGGTGCAGGAGGCTCTCTGGGCTTAGTAGCCATCAGCCTAGCTCCAGATCGAGTGTGATCCCTCAAGGAGCAGGCAAAGCACGATGGAGCAGAACCCTCAGCATCCTCCTCTGGCACCATCTGTGCCCCACAGGTTCATATGCCACACACACATCCCCCCCACACACAATAGTCCTACATCACACACACCACATTCCCCCATGTTCATACACCCCACACACACACTTTCACACATTTCATACATCTCTCTCACATACACACACATTCATACACCACACACACACACACACACACAATTTTTATATCATTTTTCTATTAATTCTAATTTTACCCATTCTTCAGTAGTTCAATAGGCTTTGATTTTTTCTCCTCTTTCATGTTACGCCTTCCTGCTACAGGCATAACTATGCATTGGCTGTCACATGTGAATTTTATATTTTATCATGGCAATAAAGCTCAATTACTCAAAACCAATTTTTCATTTTTTGTTATTTTTATGATTTTTAACCAGTATTCTGGCAATAGTAAACTCTATGATATTTTATCTTTTATGAGTCAACTCAGTTGAGGACAGGATTCACTTCCTTGTGGATTCTAGATTTTTCCATTGAGGCTGGGGGGAATGGGCCCTACCCCATGTCTTTTATGAAGACTTGATCGTGATATCTTTTAATCCTCTTAGATTTCTTAAGTCCAGATACTTTCTCTCACACACAAATACTCCAGCCATCTAGTGAACACTTACAAGGGAGCCACTGCAGGTCTGTGGAGTTCTCTGTCTTGATCTCTTTTTTTTCTGAAACTCCTGTGTCCGAGCTCCTTGATATTCTAATTCTAGTTGATATTCAATTGTGTCTTCTTAACCAAGAGGTCTGGCAGGCTGTGGCTGAGTTGGCCCTGCCTGAATACCCAACTGGAACCAATTTGCAATCTGTAAAGGAGATGGGGGTGATCATAGAACTATGTCATTTGACTCCCATCTTTCAGAAACTCATATCTTCTTCACCTGAGGTTCAATATTTTAACAATGATTCTTTTGTGTATAATTTTTTATTGAAAATGGAAGGCAAATATGATTTCATTAGTTCATTGTGCAAGCATAAGTTTTGGTTTTCTAAAACATTTCTGCTTTATTTAGGACCCTTTTCAAATACTATCTGTCAAGTCTTTGCTTGCCATCTGATTGTAAAAATCAGATACTTTGACGAACTGCACCATTGAACAGAAAGAGAGGAAACAAATTCGTCATATTTCATTTTTATTCTGTACATTTCCACACAATTCACAATACAGAAAAAAGTGTCCAAAAAGTAACTGTAACTAGTCAATTTCTTTTTCAGAGATTAGTTCAGTCTCCCAAATTAATTCCATTGAAAATCTCTGTAGAGCAACACAGTGATCAAGATTCTTTATATAAATAGGAAATGCAAGAAAATTAGGGAAAAATACTTTATGACTTTATTACAAAAGAACTCCATTCCTCCCTTTACCCAACCCACCCTTCCCACCCACCCTCCCTCCACTTCATATTACCTGGATCCTACTTTAACTGGAAATAAAATTTCCTCTTTCTACTGCCACAGCTGCTGCTATTTGGGGGAATTTCACCTGCCAGTGGGCAGCTGGGCAGTAGCATGGCTCTGGGGTGTAATGGGACAGAATCAGAAAGCATGAATGAGCCCTTTATAACCTAACTGCAATGCTTCATAAGCTTGTGACCTTTGTGAGTGACCTGCCCACAGCCAGTGGTCCTCTGGATACCTGAGGATCATATTCCCTCAGAAAATCAAGTTACATCAAATACTGTTCATTGGGATGGAACTGAGATTGGCCTCTGGTACCTAGTGCTTCACAGGAATCTCTTTCCAGACTTTCGAATCAACTGTGGTCCATAGAACATTGTGGTTGTTCACTTAATCATTGGGTATTAAAAAAATAAACAGCTAAGCTAATAAGTGTGAGTGAATTTGGACCCTGTCTGTTCAAATATATCTTTTTTCAGAATATTCCACTTCATTTGAGTATTTTGTTTTGATAAATTCCGTTTTGCTCCCCAGAATAGCAAGAGTTCCACTTTACCAACTCACAACCAGGATATTAGCAAGCAACAAGATATTAGATGCCCTGAAAATTATGCATGAATGTAGTTAGCGGTTAGTGACTCCATCCAAATGTTGCCAGTGATGGGGGGTGGGGTGGGAGGAGCAAATGAAAATGTTATAAAACCCAAAAGCTTAAGAACCACTTGGATTCATTATGCAAGGTGCAGTAAGTATCAAGACCAGAATATGTCTTCAAAGCTATAAATCTCAACAATATATTTGTGAGACCTACTTATAAATTTCAAACAAAAAGAGTAAATCGATGTAGGGCTGTCATTTCTGTGTTTTGAAGTTGCTTTACTTTTTAAAAATAGGAATCACCTGTAAACAATGCATGTCTATCATTTTAAAATGAAAAGGCTTGATTTAAACCACCCCCATACAGTCTTACTCTGAATTTTTAAGAAAAAAATATTTAGATTTGTGAAGAAAACTCAAATTGTCCTCATTTTTCTCAAGTATTAGCATATTCCCCCACAAGTCTGTGGGCAGGTGTAACCTTATGTGAGCAGTGAAGGAGATTCTCAAAAAATGTTCCCCACCCTTTAGGAAGTCTACCAGAAAGTCCATCCATTAGCTGATCCTGTTTTCCCCCCAAGTTCCACATACACTCACATACATTCTAATTGTATTATGCTGCATAAATGGAATTTCCAAGGTATACTCCTTGAAGTCATGATTTAAAGATATGTCTTCTACGTTTGATTTTCATGGGAAGGAATCAGTTTTTGCTGATCATCTGTTATTTGTGAGAGGCCATGAGAACTCACACCAATGCGAGTTGTCTTACTGTGCTACACCTGAGACTTTAAAAAATACATTTTTTGTCTTTTCTTGTAACTCTGCTCTTCTTTTTCCTTCCCAAGCCAAGGGCAAGGACTGGGGCAGGAGAGAAAAGGGATATGATCAATCTCTTGAATTATCTGAATACTGACTCTCCCCACCCCCTCCACCCCTAGACAACTAGAAATCTGGAACACAGACCTTACCACAGCAGATGAAAAGAAAAATGGTCGGTTAGCACTGTAATCCCTGCAAATAGAAGCATAATGGAAGCACTAGCCTATTGACATAGGCATAAGTCTTAATCACAAAAAGATAAAGAAAAGCTTCCCTGACTCTTTATTACCAGAAAACAAGATCTTCAGTCTGTTCTCTAAGCCCCAATCCCAACTTTAAACCCTAAACAAATGGATAGCAAATAGAGAAAGAACAAAAAAGAAATATTAGACCCATTGTTTTCATTTTAGATCTGAAATTTGTGAGGTTTTGCTTTAGTGGAAATATGCATCTTATTCAGATTTGGAAAATTGGCTCTTAGTGTATGTGTATGTGTCTGTCTATATCTATATGTGTGTGTATGTGTGTGTGTGTGTGTGTGTGTGTGTGTGTGTGTACTCTCACAGTGCATGTGTGTATGTGAGCAATCTTTTGTCATCATGAAATCTCTGCTTCTAAATGATTTGGGCTATATTTGTAATGAATGGCATATTTTTCATTTTTTTGTAAAAGACTGCCATCCTTTAGGCAGGAATCTGGGGGCAGATCATCTCTCACCGAGATTTATTCCAGCCTAAAACAATAGGAAACTAATTGTGGGAAACATTATATAGGTCTTTCGCCCCCAAGTTCCTTCACAGTTAAGGATTTTCTCTTATATTACCTCTGAGTTTGTTGCTCAATCTTAATACTAGAAGAAACATTAACAGTGATAAAGAACTCTCTTTTTCAAGGAAGCCCTGCTGATTTTGATAGATGAAGTGTTTGGAAACATAAAGCTTTACATAACAAAGCTATCACCTTTTCACACCTGTTTTTGTTCTGTGCTGTCTTTGGTTTAGTGTACAAGGTGTTTATCCTTTAGAGCTGGATTCTAACAGTACCACACGATCAATCTCCTTCAGACGATCTTAAGTCTAGCCTAACCTTGTCTTCTCTCCAGATCAAATATCCATTTACACCAATCTGCCAATAGATGATCCTGGGAGAATACTGCCTATTTTTTCTACTTCAAGTACAGCATGATTTCCCATACGTGTCTGAATTTCTGTGTACGTGATTATGAAGGATAAACTTTGTTGCTATACCTATTCATAAGCATATCAATCAGACCTTGAATAGGGGGCCAGCCTCAACATTTTTTGGTGTAGCACTCTGAAAAAATATCAGCCTCCAGGGAGGGAAATAGTACTTGTATTTAAAAAAATGATCACAAATAAAATAGAGGTATCATTAAATTCTCAGTGTTAATTTCTTCTCATGGAATCCATTATACTCTCCAAAGTTTTGACATGACATTTTTGGGCTTGAAATATGTCTAAATTGACATGCCCCTTGGTAGCAGAAATTCCAAGGTTCTGATTTTAGGCTCTTCCTCACTGCTAATTAACTCTGGCTGTGGAATTTTAGGTAAATTTTTTTTTCCCCATAGAGAAACCTTTTTATTATAGAAATCTGAACAACTGGTGCAAAACATCACTGATGGCAACGGTGGGATTTCATTTACCTAGAAAGCCTCTATGTAGGCTCTGCTTCTCTGTCAGTCTAAAGATCCCTCATCTGGTAGAGATCCTATCACTGTGTGAATCTGCAGGTTGAGTTCACTATGTCAAGACTTGGTTTATTCATTTAGAATTCATTACCTGCATTATCCCCTTCAAGGGGTTGTATTACTATCAAAGCTCAAAAGTATCAAAAATGCATCAAAATATCAAAGCACTAACTTTTTAAAAAATGTGGAAATTGTTAATAGTATAGATTTTAATTGTTTTTTTAATCATTTCATGTTGAGTCATATGTCTGTTTCAATAAAGGGATAAGAAACAAAAGTTCTAACTGTTGCTGCTTCCAAAGGCTACCAATTCAGACTCCACTGATCTCCAGGTGCTGAAACTTCTGAAGTAGAGAGAAACCCCAGATCACCACTTACTTTCTTCTGTGGCTATTTCCTGCCTACCAATTACCATGCTGGTACCAGAAACCAAGCAATTTTCCATGATCACGTTCATGTACATTTACTTAACTCCTAAATATCCCTTAGGCAGAATTTTCTTCTGTGGTTAGATTACAGTTAACCCTAAGAATAAAAAGTCACAGTACTTTTTATATTGGAAGAACAGTAAGAGTTCTAATAGGGCTTTATTTGAGAATGTCTAAAAATATTTATCAGTATCCCAAAATGTCTCTAGAAGCATTTTGAATTTATAGTTCTTTATGTATTTTCTTTTTTATCTTGAGCTCTTGAAATCATACTTAGTTAGTTTTAGAATGTTTTAAAGGAGAACGAAAGGCCACTCCCTTCAAGATTTCAAAGTTTCTCATTTATAAAGTGATGTTTTAATTAAGAAACCAAGGTTCTCATGAATTCTTAAGATGAAATACTGCCATCCAACAAATGATTTGCAAAGAACTTTTTAAAATATAAAATCTAATGTCACCCCCTTCAATCACATATCCCTAATCATGACACTCCTAAAAGTAGTCAAGCAACCTCTGTTTAAATGTTCCCAGGAGCTGAAATCTTAGAACTGTGTAAGGATACCCACTGTGTGACTTGGCAATTCATACTTCATCTTCTTTGTATTTAATAAAAACCCACTGAAAATTCTGCCTATTATCCCTGGGTTTGCTCTTGAGGGCTGGGATGAATTTTAACCTTTGCTTTATTAGTGTCTCATCTTAAGTTTAAGTTTCATCTTAAAACCTTAGTTTCAAAAACTTTTTAAAGAACATTACCACAATTTTAAGAAAAAGAAAATGCAAAAATAAAAGTATTTCTTTCCTATTTAACTTTTGCTTTTATAGAACTAAAGCATGCTATCCAGTGAGCAACAAACACAATAAAGCCTCTGTTGAACTTTCAGGGTGTGCTGGGGTACCCTGAGTATCCCATGCACAGAACTGACATTTATTCGAGTCTGTTTTTTGCTCCTTGTTTGCTAATTCCTTAAAATCAATTTTATCTATTGCATTCATAGATAGCTATGTCCTCAATATAATGTCTGCATCAGAAAAAATGATAAATATTTTGAAAGAAGTGTTCAAATACATGTAGGTGTGACTGATCATGAACATATGATTGTATGGGCATGACTGAACTTACAGTTAACTAGGGCCCGGAGTCTATTCATCATGAAGACATTATCCAGTAGTTGAGTTTCTACTGTAAAACATTTTTTTTAAATAATCTTAGAATTACTTTCTCTTTTTCCTCTTTGGGACCAGTATAATGAATCTCAATATCCCAGAAATGTCCAGTGTGCTACTTCCTAGCTTATTTCTGTTTTTAGGTTTCTCCTTAAACTACCTCAACAGCCTAAAATCCACAGATGGCCCTCAAGGGTGTAACTCATGTTTAATCTAGTCCTCAGGGTGATGTGAAAGGTACATGTTGCTCACATCATTTAATATGGGAGGAATGGCCATGATTGTGTTCTCTTGAGTGACTGGAACAGAAATTATATGCTAAACCTCATAGCTTACTTCTCAGAATCAAGACTGTCAAAATTCCTTAAGATGACCAAGGTCAGTGGACATGTACTTGTGCAACATGGACACTTGACCCAGAGAAAAATTTCATCTGGATATATTTTGGTCATAACATCTGGGCAGCTGTGTGACAAAATGATGGACAGTAATGGCATGATGGTTGCCATGGCCAGAATCCTGGGGAATCAGGAGACTACTGATGACTAGAAGATAGAGAAGGAGACTTTTGATCAGCTGAATGTGGAGGTCAGAGCTGAGAAGCTCTGAGAAATTCAAAGGCAGTGTTTTTGAGATGTAGGCAGAAGCGAGTTTATACTAAATAATTATTATAGCATAATCAGAGAGCTAATTTAATACATGTTCTTCTACTTTCTTTTCCTAACATGAACATAATTCAGTTAAGTAGAGCAATTAGCAGTCTTATTTGATAGTTATGATGAGCCATTTTAACAAAGATCTATTTTTATTTTTAAAGTGCACAACTGAATAAAATATCATGCTGTTCTGGGTGATTTAATTAGTTGCCCCTACTGGAAAACAAGCTGCTCAGACCCCAGACCATAACCAAGTAACTACCCCTTCCTGACAGTAACTTATTCTCATTAAATATCATTAGGAAGCTGACTGAGTGTTGGCTTTTTAAACTCAATTTTAAAGTAGTAGTAGGATCATAGAAGAAAGAACTCTCTTTTATCTACTTGAGATCCAAAAACAGCATGGACAAGTCTCAGGGCTAAGGTTGGTTTCATGAAGCATGGATGGCAACTTACAAACAATTAGGGGAATTCTTAGTCATGGACTTTGTGACTCTGCCGTATGAGACCATAGAGAGGCAGGGACAGAACCACACTCAGGAACGGTGGAAGCAAAAATTAAATGAGAATTATGTTACCTTTTCAATCACTGTCTGTTAGTGTTAAACACATATAAAGATGATGAGCATGCTTTTAAAATGTGTTGTATGTGGCATATATGCCCATGTATGTATACAAATAAAAACATTTCTACATATGTATGGATGGATAGATATGTGCATATATATATTACAGATATGTGTGTATGAATGAGCAGGACACTTAGGACATAACATACAAGCAGCTGTGTTTATTAGTGTTGACAGTGTTATGGAGACAGGACACCAGCACAGAACATGCCTTGGTGTTGCATGTGATACTGCCTGTGGAATTAAAAAGGCAGGCGCTACTTTCATAATGAAAACAATGTGTTCATAAAATTGACATGTAATAAACTGCTTCCCCTTTGCTTTCTAAGACATGAATATCATAAGGATCTAGCAAACAGATCTCAGAAATCTGTTTGGCACAGGGGTCTTTACTAGGTCCCCATGCAAATAAATGTCCTGTTGAGCATCTTACAACCAGACAAACCTGCCTGGGCAGCTACAGGGAAGGCAGGAAACAGCAGGGTGCACAAGGCCTTTCTCCAGTTGTTACTAATTTCATTGCAGCTGAATTCTGCTACAAAACTCTGGCTGGATTTCAGTCATCACCTCTATGAAGGTAACCAGAAATCTCAAGGCAACATTCTCAGTTCTGCAGTTTCTTTCCTTCTTGACTGTCTAATCCTCTCCTGCTCTTAGTGGCTCCTTGAATGTGGTAAAGCCAGAATGGTGCTGTTTCACAACTTTGTAATATAGGTTTGCAAAAAAGTCTACCGTTGCAGTTATAGAATGCTATCTTTCAATAACACTTCATTTTTCATCCTTCTGTCATCCTAACTTAAGGTGAAATTCCCAAGGAAATAGTACCACAGCACAGGAGCTGAACACAGGCTGTGTGAAAGCGGCACTTCTGTGCGTACACATACATATTTTTTGGTCTGATGAAGTTTGCGGAACCAGGACCCCAACAATTGTTTCTGTACATCCTGATGGCCAGCTAAATGGGATACCATATTCCTGGACCATACATGGCTTTAGCTGAGGATTATCACACACAGCATAAAAAATATTTAAAAATATCCTACAGGAGGTATGTTTCACGTTGAAATCATTAAATGTATGTGTTCAGCTCATGTTTTTGATTTTCTGGGGGGGAACCCAAGTCCTAGAGTCATTTATTTTTTTCAGAAATAGATCGTATATTCCTCCCCATCAAAAAATAAGGATCTAATGTTACTTTTGTTCTTTCTTTTCTCTGGAGCAAAAAAATTCCCAGATACATCAGGACTCTTAAAGTAATCAGTATTTCATCTACTTTAATGCCACAGTCTTCTTTATATCTTTAGTTGGAGCTATTTGGATTGGCCCATAGCCACCTGTACCCTACATTTTCTCTGGACTGTTTTAAAGCATTCTCAGAGAAATGTGAGATGGTGGTTGATGAAAATATAGTCCCGTATCTCAGCAGTGGTCAGCTGGGTAACCAACTTCTTGGTCAAACGTTTGGCTCAACCCAGGGGCTGGAAGGCATCATTCAAAGCCAGGTTCCCGTCTGGTCTAAGGACTATATTTTTTTAATCACAATATTTCCTTGACAGCCCCAACAACTGAAAAACTACAGAAACCCAGAGATTAAATTCTTTTGGAGAGTATTTATTTTTCCAGCTCCTGGAAACAATCTACTCCAGACCCCTTTTTCCTTCACTGTAATATCCAAGAGAGAGCTCCATTTCTGAGACAGATGCCTGGAAATACATTACTCGTAGCCAACCCATTTTCCCACAGCTGGAAATGATGGCAACAGTTTGATCTTGAAATGGTTATGGAAAGTCTGTGGTAATGAAACTTTACCCACTGAAAGGCTATTTGGACTTAATATGGTATACCATATGTGTCCTTTGAAAATAATGATATGTGATTTGGATAAACAACTTGTCCCCACTGGACTGTTAGATTAAAGAGAGAGAAATGACCATTCATAGTCACATGCAAAAAAACACAAAGCAAGCATTTTGCTCTGTTCAAGAGCAAAATGGAAGGAAGTTGGAAGAAAAGCCTTCAGATACCCCACTTTTATTTGTGACTTAGACTTAAGTCAAGTAGATTTTTGGAAAGTTAGACTTTTTTTCCTCCTCACTGAATTATCAGACCCCACCTGATCCACGGCATGATTAGAAGTGGTAATTCCAGTAGCAGGTGGACATTTCTGTCACAGTGGTTTGTACCAAGAAGTCTGTGAGAGGGAAACAAAGGAGGGAAAGCAAACACTAGACGACCCTGTACGTGGAAAATGAGGTTGTCAGGCATGGCCTCAGGACCTGACAAGTAACAGGTGAAGCACATCAGAAAGGGCCAGGCATCCTGGCGGTCTGACAGAGGCTTTGTCCTTGGGTCAAACCTTCCTTGAAGTCATGAAAACCAAATTCTTAGAAGAAAAGCCAAAAATGGAATCCTTTTAGCAGCTATATCTCAAGACAAAGCCCCCAAGACTGTTTTCCTGGTCAAGTTTATTATTTTGACTAATGTTGCTACTTTTGCTTTGCTGTTTGTTTTTTTTTTTTTTTCAAGTCAATTAGGTGGCTTTCTAATATCACTCTACAAAACTTAGAAGTAAATGTTGTTAGAGTGCTCCATTGCCCATAACCACAGTTCCCAGACGGTTTCCACCCTCCCATTTAACCAGCACTTTGTCACATGGTTCTGCACACTAGTTTTGGGCCTCTATTGAATCCTTGGCTCATCTCTACTGCAGCAGAAGGCAAAGATGGCTACTCATAGGCAGTATGGAGCTGTACAAACAGCCCAAGCTGAAACAGTCCTTCAAGACTGCCTGGGTTGACCCCGGGTAACCTCTCTAAAGGACCTCCAAGCACAAACAGCTCCCATGCCACCTCACCATACCTCAGAGACAGAGCACTCAAGTTGACATTATCCATGTGGCACTTTCCCATCCTATATAATGAAACAGGAAGGGTTGGAGGGGGCATGCAAAGCCACTAAGTAGTCTTGGTATATTTAGTCTTGAAAATGGAAGTGGTTTTACACTTATATTTCTGCAAGACATTCAGGAGGGCTTAAAAGACCTTCAGACAACCTTGTGGTATAAAGACTGAATGTAAAGAGAAGAGATACCATATTTCTAAATTGATGGATGATTACAGTAGAATTGTGTGGTATAGGGGAAAGAGGAATGAGTATGGGGAGGACGGAGCAGTGCCATTTATATGAATATCCTTTGAATCGTTAACATAAATTAGACAGGTGAACACAGAAGTTCATGCTACTTGCTCAAAGCAAAAAGGATCAAATTTTGTGGAACTCCACAAATCTCCAGGTAGCCTGCCTCCTTCTCAATGGGCTCTCATGTCCTGTTGTACATCCTGGTAGCCCTTAGAACCTGGTAGTGTGGTCTCAGATAGATTCTTGCAGGAGAGAGGCAGCTATGGATGCTGTCAGCTTCTTCCAGGGGAGCTGCCCAGTGGCCGGGAGGGCATGGGTCATATGCTTGCTCACGTTCTCTCTGCCCGTTCACCAGGGTCAAACAGCAGTTTCCAGGTCCTCATGGCCAATGATCTTATAGTTCTGTCGGCTTTCTAAGTAAGCAGCCAAATCTGGGTCCCCAGCCTGCTGTGCTCGGTCCTGGGGTGTCTTTCCCTATGGGAAACAATAAAAAAGAAAGAAAAAGCAATACTTGGAGTGAGACGCTATACATATATTATGATGGAAATAGAACGAGCCAAAGCCGATTCACTGGATAGAGCCCATCCATGCTGTATGTTTCAGAGTTGACAAGATGCTTTCAGCTCTATTATCTATTATAATTGGGATTATATCAATGTGTGATGGTCAATGAAAGCACGATAGGGCTACATCTCAGGAAACAAAAATTCATAGTCTCCCTGAGAATGCGGGGAGAGTCTGTGAGCCGTGAGATTTGGATCCCAGATTCTTTTCAGAAAAGGGGAGAGAAGAAACACTGAATGAAAAAATAGCATATATTCATGTTTCTAGTTTAGGATTCTGTTAGACTAAACTCTGGGAACCAACAGGCGGAAGTTGAGAGGAAGGGTTAAGCTCGCCAATCATCGAAAAGTAGTTTTGCGGATTTCCAAGTTTTCAGTTAAGTTCTCTTTGATTTATAAGTCACTGTTAATCTATGAATACAAAGTGATGACTTAAGGAACTCTGGGGAAAAATAGAAAAAAGAAGGAAATAAAAATCACCAATCAGTAAAAATCACTATCAACTTTGTACTGAGCAAATAGTTTTATACTTTTCTAGACCCCTGTAAGTAATTGTTTCTATAAAAATAAAACATACTTTGGTTATATACTATTATATAACCTTTTTACCTAATATACCATTTTATATCACTAAATCATGCATACTCCACATCAACATATTAAACCATATAATGTCTTGACACCTTCTATACTGCTTTTTTTGTACATTTGTCTGTAACATTTGATATTTTTCTAAATGAGACCCTTGTAAATAGACATCAGCAGG